CTGTGGGATGACGAGGCTGGAAACTGGGTCCGTCGCGTGCAAGGCCAACACCCGCCCCGCTGTCCTATTGTTCCAGCCCCCGAAACCACTTTGGAAAGTGATTTTATTGCGTCTCTTTGTTGTTGGCGACTGACCACTGTTCATCCACGTGCCTGGCTGGGGGGAGCTCACACATTATTCATGGGCGGGAGCGCATCACACACCCAGCTGGGATGCCCGCACACACCTGGCTACATCATGGCTGGACAGGACCTGCGGTGCTGGGCATCTTACAGGGCGGAGCCACCAGGGCCATGCCCTGCACACACACGGCGGCCCTGCGGCTTGGGTTCTTGGCCAGACACTCGGAAGGGCGGAAGCTCGATGCCATGGGGCACTTCCGGCGGGCTGGCCCTCCCCTGTGCTCTGACTCCTAAACTGTCACTCACCTAAGAAGGAATGTACTTGCCTCCGAACCAAAAAAAAAAAAAAAAAAAGCAAAGTTTCCTGGTTTGCTAGGCGACAGGGCTGGCGTCTTGGTTGGGACCTGGACACGGATTGGACCGGATGCCAGCGCTCCTGGGGGCTTGTTCGGGCCTGCCTGGCTCCTGATCTTTTCTTTTCTTTTCTTTTTTTTTTTTCCGGTTTGGGGCCACACCTGGTGGTGCTCAGGGCTGACTCCTGGGTCTGCACCCCTGAAGAACTAATCATTTTGCTTGTTTTTGTTCTTTTTTGGGGGGTGGGGGCCGCACCCAGCAATGCTCAGGGGTCACTCCTGGCTCTGCACTCAGGACTCACTCCTGGAGGGCTCTGGGGGCCTTCTGGGGTACCGGAGATCAAACCTGGGTCAGCTGCAGAAAAGCGAGCGACCCCCCCCCAAGTCTGTCTTCCCTCAGTACCCCTGTAATTTTTTTGCCACACCCAACAGTACTCAGGATTTATTCCTGGCTCTGCCCTCAGGGATTACTCTTGGCAGTGCTCAGGGGACCCTGTGGAATGCCAGGGACCGAACCGGGGTCAGCCGCATGCAAGAAAAATGCCCTCCCTGCAGAACTATCATCCTGAAAACTCCCCTCCCCCCGCCCCTCATCTTTTCTGAATCTGTTACTTTGTGGGGGAGCTGATTTACCTAATTTTTTTTTGGGTGGGGGTCACACCCGGCAATGCACAGGGGTTACTCCTGGCTCTGCACTCAGGAATCACCCCTGGCAGTGCTCAGGGGACCAAATGGGATGCTGGGAATCGAACCCGGGTTGGCCGCGTGCAAGGCAAACGCCCTACCCCCTGTGCTATTGCTCCAGCCCCCCTAATTTTTTTTTTAATCTTAAAAATATGGGGTGGGACAGAGAGAGAACAGCAGATAAGGTACTTACCTTATCACAGTTACTACCGGAGGGTCAGAGGACTGACAACAGCCACCCAGACAGGCAATCAAGGGGGCCTTCCTGCAGGAGACGCCAGGTGAAGCTCCAGGGAAGATGGACCACCTCGGGGGTCCGTGGTCCCTTTCCCTATCATCAAAGCTGGTCCCGACCTCCCTGACACTTGCTTCAGTAATCACATACCACCCGGATAATCCGTGATAATCCCTCAAATCCAGATCCTTAACTTGGTATTTTTTTTTCCTCTTTAGGCCACACCCCGCAGTGCTCAGGCATCACACACCTAGCGGGGCTGAAGGGAACCGTGATGGGGATGCCGGAAATTCAAGCCAGGTCCTGTTCCTCTGGCCTGTGAGTGATTTATTACATGCTTGAGCTGGAGGGAACCGGAATGAGGTGGGCCCTGGGATAGTGTTGCCAGAAAGTTGCTGTCCTGAAATCCCATAATTGGCAACATCGTAAATCTTGGGGCCTCCGAGAAAAAAAAATTACATAAGCAGAGTGAGCTCATGCTTTGTAGAAGGTGGCTCGGGTTTGAGGTCAGGACCGGAGTGGTCTTTTGAGCACCACCAGGCGTGACCACCGAGCAGGGGACAGGCCGTGAACGCTGCTGGACGTGGCCCCCAAAGAAAATGGAAACAAAATGGTCTGGAGTCAGAGTAATAGGACAGAGAGGAGGGCCCTTGCCTTGCACAAAGCCAACTGGTTTGTCTGATCCTGTGCAGACCACTGGGTCCCCTGAGCCCCACCAGGAGTGACTGCTGAATGCAGAGTCAGGAGTAACCCCTGAGCATTGCCGGGTGTCGCCCCCCCCCCCAAAAAAAAAGAACAAAAACAAGCAAAATGATTAATTCTTCAGGGCAGGAACTAGAGAGGTAGTACAGGGGTTAAAACATGCGTCTCACTGGGGCTGGAGCAACGGCACAGCAGGCAGGGCGTTTGCCTTGCACGTGTCCGACCCGGGTTCGATTCCCAGCACCGCCAGGAGTAATTCCTGAGTGCAGAGCCAGGAGGAACCCCTGAGCGTTGCTGGTGTGATCCAAAAAGCCCCTCCCGTTGATGTTGATTTGCTCGAGCGGGCCCAGTAACGTCTCCATTGGAGACTTGGTTGTTACTGTGTCTGGCATATCGAATACTCTCGGTAGCTTGCCGGGCTCTCCGAGAGGGGCGGAGGAATCGAACTCGGGTTGGCCATGTTGGCTGCGTGCAAGGCAAACGCCCTACCCGCTGTGCTATCGCTCCAGCCCTGTGCTATCGCTCCAGCCCAAAAAGCAAAGTGTCTCGGGGCTGGAGCAATAGTACAGCGGGCAGGGAGTTTGCCTTGCACGCAGCCGACCTGGGTTCGATTCCCAGCATCCCATATGGTCCCCTGAGCACAGCCAGGGGGAATTCCTGAGTGCAAAGCCAGGAGTAACCCCTGTGCATCTCCAGTGTGACCTAAAAAGCAAAAACAAACAAAAACCAAAAAAAACCAACCAAACAAAGGTCTTGCACGTGGCTGACCCCAGTTCAATCTCAGGCAATACAGGACTTACAGGGTCCTCTGGGTCACGCCAGAGAGGACACATATACCCCTACCCATCAAGCAAGACAAAACAAAACCAAACAAACAAAAAAAAGTAGACAGTGCTGGGGTACTTACCTTGCAGGTGGCCAACCAGACTTGATCTTTGGTATTGCCAAATGGTCCCGAGTCCCACCAAGAGTGATCCCTGAGAACTGAGCCAAGAGTAAGCCCTGAGCACAGCTAGGTTGGCCCCAAAAGTGAAGGAAAAAGAACACACCAACCCCCAAAACCTCTGGGAGTTGGGGTGGGGGCAGGGAGTCCAATGAAAAAGTACTATCAGGGGCTGGAGGGATAGCACAGCGGGGAGGGCGTCTGCCTTGCACGCAGCTGACCCAGGTTCGATTCCCAGCATCCCATAGGGTCCCCCGAGCACCGCCAGGAGTAATTCCTGAGTGCATGAGCCAGGTGTAACCCCTATGCATCGCCAGGTGTGACCCAAAAAGCAAAAAAAAAAAAAAAAAGTACTATCAGGTATTGTTGATGACTTTTCAGTATCAATAGTGCAAACCACAATGCCCAAAACGGGGGGAGGGAGAGAGAGGGAGGGAGAGGGAGAGAGAGAGAGAGAGAGAGAGAGAGAGAAGAAAAGGCAGATGGGAGGTGGGGGATAATGGGAGGGAACCTGGGGACCACTAGTACTGGGAAACGTATACTGGTGGAAGGATGGGCGTTGGAATACTGTATGACTGAAATCCAATCATGAACACCGTTGTAAAGGTCTATCTCACAGTGATTCAATTAAAAAGTTAAAAAAAAAAAAAACAGTATCATCAGGGCCGGGGTGATTATACAGCAGGTACAGCATTTGCAATCCATAGGGTCCCCTGAGCACTGCCAGGTGTAATTCCTGAGTCCCGAGCAAGAATAACCCCTGAGCATCACCGGGTGTGACCTCCAAAAGCCAAAAAAAAAAAAAAAAATTAATACAAATAAATAAGAAAAGAAACACCACCCCGCATCTTGTGACTCCTCTCCCGCGCCTGTAACTGGAGGGCTAAAAGCGATCTCAGTTATGTGTGTGTGTTTGCATTTCTGAACTCCCTGGAATTTCTTACCAGGAAGGCGGGCACTGAGAGGGTGCCAGGTTTCAGGAGGCTGCAAGGGAGGCACGGCCTGCGGCTTACTCAAACTCCTACGGGGCCACACAGGGCCGTCCCGGCGGGGGCTTTTGTCTGCGCAAGTCCTAGATCGTGGCTGGCACCAAAAAAAAAAAAAAAAAAAAAAAAAAAAAAAAAAAATCCCATTTATTTGCCTGTTCTGGGGCAAACGCCGCGGCGGCTCAGGAGGGATCGCCGCTGGCAGAGCTCGGGGGACCCTCGCTGGGGATCGAACCCGGAGGCCGAACGCCGTTCAGGGAAGGGCCTCGAGCCGCTGCACCAGCTCCCGGCCCCGCCAGATCAATGAATGAGGGAATGAATGAGAACGAATGAATGAATGAATGAATGAATGGATGGATGGATTCGAGGCTGGGCCTCGGGGCACCGCTGAGCCGCTCTGGTCACGGCCCTAGCAAGCGTGTCCTTTTCACCGCGACGGGGAGGGAAACGGAGGCCGGGCGGGCCCGCGCCCCGCCCCTCGGAGGGGCTGGGATTCGAACCCGGGCCCCCGGGTCCCGCTGACCCTTCTCCCTACCTTGCAAGCCGGCAGCGCCGCCGGCACGGACGGGCACGGGCCGCACCGCACGGCCGGCGCGCTCGGCGGGCGACGCGGCTCTCCTGGGCGCCCGGCCTCGCTCCGGGCCCGCGGGCCAGGCCAGGCCAGGCCAGGCCAGGCCAGGCCAGGCCCCGGCCAGGCCCCGGCCAGGCCCCGGCCAGTCCCCTCCGCCGCGTCCCCCGCCGGCCGCCCGCCCGGCCGTTCGCAGGCGGCGCCGGCCGGAAGTCCCGCCCCCGCCGCGCGCCCCGAATCGCGGGCGACAGGCGCGCCGGCCAATCAGCGGCGCCGCGCCGCGGGCGCCGGCCAATGGGCGCGCGCGCCGGGGGGGGCGTGTCCGGGCCGCGGGCCGGAGCGGGTCGTGCGCGCTGAGGAGGAGCCGCCGCCGCCGCCGCCGCCGCCGCCGCCGTCGCCGTCGCCGCCGCCGCCGCCGCCGCCGCTACCGAGGCCGAGCGGAGCCGTTAGTCCCGCGCCGCCGCCGCCGCCGCCGCCGCCGCCCGCCCCGGAGCAGCCCCGGGCCTGCCCGCGCGCGTCCAGGTGAGGCGGCCGAGCCCTCGGCGGCGGCCTAGGCCGCGGCAGGCCTGGGCTCGCCTGAGCCGGGCCGCGGGCGCTCGCGGGCCTGCAACCGGCCGAGGCCCAGGCCGAGCGGGGACGCGCGCGGGGCCGCGGGCACGAGCGCGGGCCGGGCGGGGACGCGCGCGCGGGGGCGCGGGCCGAGCGGGGACGCGCGCGCGGGGGCGCGGGCGGGGGGCCGCGGGGGGGGTGCGCGAGGGGCGCCCGGGGGCGCGCAGAGGTCACGGCCCGCGGCGGGGGTCGGGGTCCCCCTCCCCCCCGGGAAGCCCCCCACGGATCCTTTTGTGGCGGCGCAACGAGGTCCCCGGGAGAAGTGTGTGCGCGCGCGCGCGCGTGTGTGTGTGTGTGTGTGTGCACGCGCGTGGGGATGGGGGCGGCCCCGAAGGGAGCCGAGAGCGCCGAATCTGCATCCGGGTGGGAATCCGAGACTTATCGATGATGATGATGATGATGATGATTTTTTTTTAAATTTTTTTTTTAGGGGGGGCAGAGCCCGTTTGGACAAAGCTTGTCGCCTGTAAAGTGGGGGGGGGGAAAGGAGGGGCGCGTAAGGCATGTTGGATGGCCCCCCGAATGTGTGCCTTCACACACACACACATGCACGCCCACCCAAAAAAAAAAAAGGGACCAAGTTTGAACAATGGGGGTCGATGTGCGCTTCCGTTTCTGTGCCCCCCCCCAACAAAAAGTGGGTTCTTGGCCCCTCCTGGGTGCCAACTAGAAGGGGGGAGGGTTTGCATCGATGCTGACCTCTTTCCCGCCCCCGCCCATTAGAGGGCACGGTCCCGGGTGGGCTAGGGGGGGCGCCGCTGCAGAACTGGCGGGGGACTGTGTTCACGGGCCAGCCAGGTGGAATCAGAAGTTGTGGGGACGTGGAGGGTACTGGTGAAGGTCTTCTCTGCGACGTTTGGGGCGCGATGGGTCGTGATTTTTTGGGGGGGTTGCTGCGATCACCACCGCCCCGTCCCTTGTAGCATACTGACTTGTGCCCTGAGGCCTCCACTTCTTGCAGGGGCTCCCGTGTCGTTCCCACTCCCTGCGGCCCCACTTGGACCCCAACTCCCAGTTGCGAGGCTCAGAAACTTCTGAGGATGCTGGAAGTGGTGCTTGAGAATGGGGCGTCCAAGGCTGAAACGGGAACCCCCCCCCCCCCCATCAATGGCAGCCTCAGTTTTGATGCTGAGTTGCTAAGTCCTTCCCCCCCACCCCGGGTGGCCCATTGCATGTGCCAGGGCTCACGTGCACCATGCCAGGAAAACGGTCGCCCGTGTTTTCGGATTTTGTTGGCAGCATAACTTCCTTCACCCACAATCTCCAGCCCGGGAGCTCCTTGCGCCTCAGGTCATTCCCATTGTTCCGGCAGCAGCTCAGTGCGACTGACGGGTGTCATGGTCAAGGGGCCGGCCGGGCTGGTCGGCGCGCCAAGGGGGTCCCGAGAGCGGTTCTCTGTCCACTTGTCACCGAGCATCTTGGGGTGGGGTTCTTGGCTGCTGTCCCTTGTAAAATTCTGCAACCTCGGGGGGGGGGGGGTCCCGGAAGAGACCCCCTTTAGAGGGACCCCTCTCGAGGCGGAAAGTGATGTGTGCTGGGGACAGTCGCTTTGCCGGGCTCCTGAGGTCACGGGGCCGGCGTGGAAGAAGGGAGGAGAGCAGAGCGCGTCTTCCTCCCGCCCGCCCGCCCGCCTCTGCCCTATTTTCACATTTCCAGCTGGGGTTGTGCTGACGGCGTGCACAGCTGAACGTGGAGCTCCTGCTTCCCCGTCTCCGGCCAGGGAACCTCCTGAGGTGACTTGAGAGCTGCAGTTTGGAAACGGGAGGGCACCCTCCGGCCCTCCCTTCCTGAATTCACCCCAAACCCGGACCCGCTCGGCCTGTCGCCCCCGCTGCGTGGAACCCCGTTGTCGTCGTCCCTGTGCTCGGGGACCTGGCTGCGAGTTCATGCACCATTTGGAACCTTCCCTGACCGTGACCAGGCTTCCTCCACCAGCGTCCACCGGTCCCCCCTCTGCGCCCCCCATCCCGGCCGGAATCGAATTCAAGGCGGACAGGAGCCAGGCGTGCCCTTGCAGCCGCCCGCCCCTAGGTGGCGGTGGCGGAGCAGCCGAGACCCACCGGAGACCGTGGGTCGGAGGAAGGGAAGGGAGCCCCACTCCCCTCCCGGACCCGGACCCGACTTCTCCGTCTCCACCGCAGCCTGTCCCAGCCGGGCTCGGGAGGGCTCGGGGAGGCCCTGGTGGTGGTGCTGGCCGTGCAGAAAAAGTTTGAGCTCAACCCTGCCACACCTGGGGCTTGGGGGGGGGGGGGGGGGGGTGGTACGTTGGCTGATGTGGAAGCACAGAAAAAAGGAAGCTAGCGTCCAAGCCTGGGTGGGTGAAGGCAGTCTCAGCGGGCTGCCTGGAGGTGACGATGTGGGAAGGAAGAAGTTAGTGAGGGGCAGGCTTTGCAGGCCGCAGTCACAGCATGGGGTGGGGGTGGGGGGCCTTATTTCTAGAGAGGACTCGTCGGGTCAGTGTTTGGGGTGCAAGGAAGGTGAAATGATTGTGACAGGGAGTACTCGACTGCTGGTGTGCAGAGAGCTGGGGAGGAGGGGGCTGCCTGCCGAGGCCAGGCGGCGCAGGGCTGCTGGTCGCACCGGCCTTAGCCCCGGAGTTTAAGGGCTGAGCTCTGCACAAACGCGCGAGAGTTGGGAGAAGTACAGCCAGGTGAGCCACCCTCTTAGGAGGTGACCCGTTTTCTGTGTGGGGATCTAACCCAAGCAAGGCCTCGAGGCTGGAGAGGCGGTTCAGTGGGTTGAGCACTGCTCTGCGTGCAGGAGGCCTGGGTTTGATCCCCGGCACCAGGCGGGACCCCAGAGCACAAAGTAAAGAGTTGCCTCTGAGCACCACCCTCTGCCCACGTGAAGGGATGAAATGGTGGGTCGGGACAGGGTAGAGAGGAGAGACTGTTGGTGGCAGCTGGCGTGTGGGCCACCTGCAGTCCGGACGGGGGCTGGTGATGAGAGGGGTGTGTGTGTGTGTGTGTGTGTGTGTGTGTGGGTGGGTGGGTGTGGGTGCAGTCAGCCGGAGGAGATCACCAGGAGGGCCCGAGGCCCGGTGGCCCTGTGTGGCCAGGCAGAAGGTCACGGAGGTGAATCGGCAGCTCTAGCGAGGAAAGGACACCGGGGTGAGCCCGGGGACAGTCCTGGGCCGTGAAGTGGGGTACTGAGCGGTGGCGTTTCCAGCGGGGGCGGGGAGGTGACTTTGGGTGAGCTGGGCAGGAGGCTTCGTGGGACCAGGAGGCTGGGCACTGGCCTGGCTCCATGGGCCAGGCCCGGAACTGCGGCCCAGGCTGCACCTGGCAGAGGATTAGCACCGGGGACGGGAGCGCGTGGGGCTTCCGACGGTACTCGGTCCCGCCCCCCGGGCAGGCTTCGGGGGACAGTCTAGGGCTAGCCAGGGGCCAGGCGGGTGTCACCGTGAAGAGACACGGGGAGGAAACGGCAGGCAGGAGGGTGACCCGGAGAGGGTTACGGAGTGGGCTCAGAGACGCCAAAGCTGGAAGGAATCTGGGGTGGGGGGCGGGTGAGGACTTGAAGGATGGGAGGGACCAAGACCCCCAGGATGAGGGCCAAGACCTCTGGGAGGCATCGTGGCCATTCATGGGGCAGAACTGGGTGTCTGCTTAGGTTTGGGGGGCCAGATGTGTGCCTGCCGCCTGGAGGGGGACTTCAGGAGGAGAGGGGGTTGACGCCAACCACACACCCAGTCACCTCTACTCTGCTAGTGGAGTGGGGTGAGGGGCGGGACTGGAGTAACGTCACTTCCGGTGGCCAGACCTAAGGCCTGCAGATCCATGGGACTGATAAGTGACTTTGTGGGAAGCACCACAGTGTGTGCCACGGTCACCACCTACCCTGTGTCTTTCCTCAACCCGGGACCATGACAGATGGCATCAAGACTTTGGGGGTGTTTCCCATCTCCCAGGGAGGAGGAGCCTCCCTTACTGCACCTGGAGGCCCATGGACAAGTGGGTGGGTCACTCCCAGGGCAGGTGCTAGGGCCCCCCGCTCCCCGTTCAGTAGACGAGCCACCCAGCCTCCGGGTGGGAGGTCTTAGACGCGGGGCAGCAGAGTGAGTGGGCTTGTGGCCCCCCACGGGGCTTTCACTGTGAGTCCTGGGGGCTTTGCATCTTAGAGTCCGGCGGCCTGGAGCAGCCGGGGAGAGGCTGGGGTTCTGGGCAGCCCAAGCTGCTTGGCCGGCGGCTGTGGAGCAGCTGGGACGGGGCCGCAGGGCCCCTCTGTGGGCTGGGGGCCCCGCCAAGTGGCTGTAATTGGGTCAGCCAGCGCCTTCGGTTCTTTCTGGCACCGGAGCATTTCCTGGGTGACCTTCTAGTCCCAGGACTTACCTTGAAGAACTCCAGATTGGGGCCAGAGAAATAGCTCCTCCGGCTGGCGCATGGGCTTTGCACGCGGGGTTGGGTTGGGGTCCTGGGACCAAATCGTCCCTGCTGGAGTGTGGCCCCTTAGGAATGACCCCGCAATGCAACGATTCAATTAACAGAGTCTATACATTTGGAGCCGGCCGTGCTCATGGCCATCCCAGGTTCGATCCCAGCACCACGTGACACCCCCTCCTTCCCACCCCCCCACCCCCCACAGCCTGGCCAGGATCGACCCCTGAGTACAGAGCCTGAGTCAGCCCTGAAACAGCTTTGTGTGGCCCAGAAAAGGACAAGAATCTCACGCCTGGGAATAACTTGAGTTACATCTCCTGATGTGCAAGATGGCCGGCGTGAGCCTGTGGCCACCTGGGGTTGGGGCAGCATCACTTGTGGACTTTGCCCAGGTGTCACAAGGCCTGCCACACTCTGGCTCCGTCCCAAGCATCCCACCGTGATTCGCTCTGCCGTCATTTGTACCCGTGTCGGGGTTATTCGAGTTGGCACGATGGCACTGAAGACCCCTCCGCCCTCACTCGTGTAGGACCG